ATTCAAGAACTACAACGTCTCAGCGCCCCGTGTGCTTGCTCGGTCAAGTACTGCAGAAAGACCTATAAGCTTAACCCACGTCCTCTGGAGGCAATACTGTAGGGCCAGGTGGAACCTGCTGGAGGCATGGAAACAAGAATATAGGTTGCAAGCACCTTGGGACTCTGCTATTCCAGGACGTTGCTCCCTGGATGTAGGCATCAGACGTGTGCTAAGGGCCGAGGCCCGACAGCTGAGAGGTGCCAACTTTGCGTCCATTTTTATTGATATATCCGGCTTTTATGATAACGTTCAATGGCCGGATTTGATCCAGGACGGGCTTGCCTTGGCATATCCCCCGGTACTGCTGGAACTTTGCCTCCAGGTCTACGCGGGAGGCCGCCTGTTGCGGCGAGCAAGTCCTGAGCCCGATCCTGCATCCGGGATCTGGCCTGCTTCTAGGGTGCCCCCTGGCACCCAGCATTTGCAAAATCGCGCTACACTTTCCACTCACCGCCCTTGGGGAGCGGCGCCTTGCTAGCCATCTAGATCTGTGGCTAGACGACATCAGCATTGACGTCCAAGGCCAGTCTCCTGCCCAAGTTGCAGCCAAAACCCTTAAAGCTTTCTGCACCCTTCAAGACGACCTGCAGATCCGAGCCTTTCCGGTCAACACGGTAAAAACCAAAATAGTAGCGTCGAACGGTCTGACGGCGGACCAGTCGTCAGCGAAACGCGAAAGCGGAGGGCAGAGTTAAAAGACTGAATGTCCTCCGGCCGCAGTCCAAAGGCCCTCTAAGAATGGTAAAGGGTTCCATTACGCCTGCTGGTACTTACGGACACCAGTGTCAAGGCGTGTCGCCCAGACAGGTAAGGTGGCTAAGACTTCTGGTCTCGAACGCTCTCGGCCGCCGCAAACTGGGACATCAGTGCACAGTCCTTGACCTCGTTGCTAAGCAAATTGAGGATCCTAAGCAACAAGTGATCAGAGAGCAGTTCCAAGTTTTGTTCAGGATACTTAAACAAGACCCTAAGATCCTGGATGACAGCACCTGGATGGGTGCCTTGCAACGACTCAAGAAGTCGCCGCAGCCGTGGAAAATGGTGTCTGGACCACTAGCTGCCGGAGTCCAGTACTTGAGGGATCTTGGTTGGAATGTTGACCAGAGGGACACCTGGAAAACCCTTTCGGTGTCCTCCATGTAGACCCTGATGAGCCCTGGCTAGGTAGGAAATTTGGGGATTTGCTCAACAGGTCCGTTCAACAAAATCGTTACGACGAAGGGCTGAGTGCTGCTTCCCAAGGGTTGGTAGATTGGACCATAGCCAGACGGGCCATCAAAAAACGGCCCAAGAACCTGCGGTTCAAGCAAGCCATCTGGCAGGGTGCCATCTTACATAGCCAAAATGGCGGTCCGGCAGAATGTCAGGTGTGTGGACAGAATAACAGTCTGCGCCACATTCTTTGGGAGTGCCCTCGGTGGCAGGGAACTCGCAAATTTCCCAGTCATCTGCAAGTTTACTATCAAGTCTGGGCCAAAACAGCACAACACAGTAGGCACGCTTGGCAAGTTCCGCTGTGAAGTTCCACGACCTGGGCCGAACACCATCATCAAAGAGCAAGCGGGGGGCATCGTAAAACTGGTAGTGGCCAGAGATGGGCGTGTTACCTGTATGGAGCAGGTATCCCCATCTTTCATACAGCTTCCATGAGATTTCCACACCAGAGTTTTGGGTGGTGGGCAGGAGGACGCTTTCTTCATCCTCCAGGGCAAAGTCTAGCTTGGCCCCGTTGGGCCGGAACCTGGGTAATTGAAGGATCACGATCCTAGGGGATCCTGCAAGACACGGTTACAGGTACTGCTCATGCCAGGTTTCCACAACGGACTGCAGGCTGACACGGCGGTCCCTGTCTCCCTGGCTCCAGGTTCAACCTGGCCTGCTCCCCTAAGCCTCCAGTGGCCCAAGATCTCAGTACAAACAACATGTGACATCTCTCCAACTCTGGCAGAAGGTTCTGCTCACAAGCTGCAAGAGACAAGTAAGGGCCGGTGGCTTGAGGACTGCACCCAACTTGGCTTGGAGGGTGAGAATCATGCGCAACCAAGCGTGCGCATAGCAGAAGTTGGTGTTGACGGGGTGGTGTCTGTGCCTGGTTACTCAGGGCATCTGAACTCAAGATTGGCTGCTCAGATTGCACCGACCTGGTTGTTTCTGCCTCCCCCTCTCGGACCTGCAGGCGTTCCATTGCAGGTTGTACGAACTGCTCGCCTCAGGATTTTTTTGGGGCACCCCAAAGAGACTGCACTTTGCCTGTAGTGAGTTTCCCGTTTGGCTTGCGGGAGTGGTCTTCTTGGGCTGAACCTTTGGCATGGGTTGCTCCGTTGCCCCATCTTTCTTCAGGGCCGACGACGCTTGTGCATCGAAGTGACTATGCAAGCTGGGTCTGACCTTTTGCGCAACAAGGCCTTTTCCAAAGCTCGATTTGGACGTGGCTGCAATTGTGGCACTCAAGCCGGTGTGAACACCCGCTGTGTGTTTTTTGATCATGGGTCCTGACCATCGTCCATATGACTTAGCACATTCTTCCTTCATGCGCTTAGGGCAGATTTTTGCCCTGACCTGTAATTGCTTTTGGCAGTGTTTGCATGGCCAGCTCTGCCCAACGCAAGCTAGCCTATGCGACTCGCGCTGTCCTAGCTGAGGGGGGGGGTGGTTAGTGCCAACACACGGGTGAGCCAGCACACGCATGAAAATCTCAGGAGGATCTGTTTGCGCAATGTACAACCCACTTAGCGGTCACGTTGCTCGTGCTTTGGCTGCCCAGCTTCCACTGGTGTCCTTGCTGGCTGTCATTTTGAAGTAAGCGCTCGACCTCCTTCCTCTTATTGAACTTCAATTGTGGCTGTGGCACATACTTGGGGAAGTCCGACTTGACAGAGTTACACAGATTTTTTTCCGCACGCTCTGCCAAGAACACGGTGAGAGCGCTGGCCAAGCGGTCAACTGACAACGTGGCTTGATATGAGGCTTGGCAAAAGGCCTCCTTGGCCCTTGCGCCGGCAAGCTTTATCTGCCATGTCGTTGACATGCCATCTCCACCTCCAGTCTTCCCCAAAACGGTCAACAAAGGCTTGTTTTGTCATGTGTGCTTTAATCCACACAGGGTTGACAAGATGCTTCTTTTGCCACACCTCAGACCATTGATGGGAGGTACTCTTATTAACATAAGGGCACTTACGCTGTTTCAGAGCTACTCTGGAGTCCGTTGCGACGTTTTGAGTGGGGTCTTCCTCGGACAGGGCTTCCAGCACCGCCACAATGGCCCGAACTTCACCATCAGCGACGAACAAGCTGGAACTTTATCTCCCTCGCGGTGAGGCCAGCATTGCAATCTGCCGCAGGGGTACTGCCGTTCAACCCACTCCAAACCTCCCTTTACACCAGCTTCCGACACCACCTCCCGTCAAAGGGGACTTCGGTCAGCACAGCGTGGACGGAATGCCTGTACGCAGATTCTGCAAGAAAGACCTCAAAACATGGCATAACTTTTGTCGGCACTTTGCAGGTCGGCACTGCTCAGTCATGTGGCGAGCCCAGCAGGAAGCTCTGCAGGCTACAGCTGAGGAACATGCTTCAATCCAACCACCAAGGCAGGACCCTGTCGGGGAGCCGCGCATCACGGGGGAGAGACCAGCCAAGTCCCTGCATCGCAGGCGGCCAAAGGAAAAGGCCGCGGCAGGACCCGGACGAGGCCACAGCACCACCAGCCAAGTCAGCAAGGCTAACGCTTCGCCAAGGCGATTAGATAGCGCGCCTCCAGACGGATCATACTGCGCTGATGACCTTCAACATAGAAGAGAATCCAGCGAACATCATCTCGGCCCTTGCGGGCGTGGCCGACCGATGGAACCACGAGCCGGGCAAGATAAACCGAACGTTGCGACATACACACCTCATCTTTGTCATCGACACGCTTCTGAAGAGGCTGACAGACAAGGACAGCCTCCAGAATGCAGCCAAGCGCTCAGTGGGCGTATATAATGTGGAAGGAGACCAGACTCCAGGCGGCCCCAGAACTGGGCGCCGTGGGCAAGGAGCAATTCCTCAGGGATCTGGAGGGAATTCGGACTCTGCTGGTAGAACCGGGGCTGATCCTGCGTTTTTCAGCAACTCGCCCACTTACCGCGGAGATGTCGGGACATTCGGTGACACTGTTGCTCGAACTGTCACTTCAGGACCCCAGGGCAAATGATGAGAAAATGGTATGCCCTGGGGGCGAGGCTGCTCATTGGAGCCCGCCTCCGTCCGGCCCGCATAGAACGGTCGACGCTGATGAAGGAGGTCCAGGAGCTATAGTCTTCGGACAGGATCAGTGATGGAGGCGGGAGATGCGCCTGCACTTTGCACTCCACCGCAGATTTCAGCCGCATTGCTGACACTTCGCCTCAGTAACCCTACCAACCTATGCTAACTGCACTCAGTCATACACCTCACGCTGTATGTTCTCCCATTCATTCCCACTACCTTGAGGCCCACGGGCATGCTCATTACGGCGCGCAAGGCCTTGGAAAAACATCAGAACAAGCCAGTTAGGATACTTGACATGCTCCCATGGCGTATTATTCTACAGGACTGGCAGCAAATCCACGTGCAACAGGACTGTGCGGAACTTTTCGATGCGCCCGCTGGAGGCTCGCATTCTTAATGATACGCCAGATGGCCCACAGACTGTCACGCAAGACAGGGGCACTGTCATCTCGCTGGTCATACCCAGTAACGCGGCGACAGTTCAGGACTGCATTGATGTTTGGCACAATCAGCCTTATGTGCATGCCATGACCAGCCGACCTCTTCTTCTTGTTCTGGCACTTGCCAGGTACTCCGATCTTGACAAAGGCAAAAACTGTCAGCGCATTGCATGTCACCCGCAAGCCACCATTTCTGTGCCTATGTTCAGTCAAGTCCTTGATGTCTCATGGCACAGGTATAGGCTTGTGGGGGGGCATCAAGCACGTGGGGTTGAGCCCTCAATCTGGACATTACCGGACATTTGCCGTGCACTGCAATGCCAGCCCTCAGGTCAATGCCGTGCATGATTCACCTTCGGCCCCACCTCGACTGTGATCTGTGGCAGTTTGACGATGGGGCAAAAGCAGTGCGTTGCAGCCAAGATGACATTTCTGACATTGAGTGCAATTGCTACATGCTTTGTTATCAAGCTGGGTAGGCAATGAAAGCAATGCGGGGTGTGCGCACCGGGTGCGCGTGCTTCGGCCCTACCATTGGTGCCGTTGTGTAATCACTGCTGCAAGCCCGCTGCCCCGTGAGGCGGTCAGTCACTGTTCTGCGTTTCGAAAGTCGAAAAAAACCTCTCCTATTCTTCTGTACGCTATACGCATCCTGGCAGGCCAGGGGCGCGTCTGGGTAACCCCGTCGGCGTCGTGGCCGCTTTGTTGAACTCAGAGGTCATTCTTCTACTCGCGCCCATCTTTTGGCTTCCTGTTAAATAGAAGCCCATAGCAGGTCGGTAGCTTACGGGTGGGTAGTCGCGCATAGGCCTTCAGTATCACCCCCACAGGAACCTTATGGGAGCACTATGCAAACTACCTGCCTCTAGACTACAAAATCGGTTTCTACAAAAAGCCTGACAAAAGCAACGTGCCATATCGTGAAGGAATTTAAGATCAATTCCGTTGGACCGCTTAGCTTGAGACATGGTGCAAGCTGTAAGGGACGCGTTTGACAGCATCTCTGGTGTGCCTGAAGACAATGTCCGTGCAGGCTCTCGCATAATGGGCCAGTTTGTTCCCCTCGTGCACCTTGGCTTTTGCTTTTAAAGGCAAAGCAAAGGCAAAGCCATGCTTTGCCGGCCTCACGGTCCATCAAGGACTCCTTCAAGCCAACAGCCTCAAGAAGGAGCTGAAAGAAAGGCTTCAAAAAAGAAAAGGCTTTTTCTCCGCAACGCTCCGCTCCTTCAGAAAGTTCCACATCTCCTGGATCCACTGCTCCTGGAAGGCCTTAAAGTCCGCCTGAGTCTGAAGACCAGCTCACTGCAGAAAAGAGCTCCGCCATGGCTCCGCCTCGGGGTCGATGAAGTACTCGATCTCCATCTGCTCAAACTCTCGGCTTCTGAACAGGAACTGCCTGGATCTGGAAGGCGTAATTTAGGCAGCACTTAAAGGCACTTCAGGCTTGCAGCGCATGCTGCCCTTTCCTGGGTGTGATCTCGTTGCGGAACGCCTTGCCGATCTGAGCAATCCCGAAAGGCACCTTCTGCCTTGTGACATACTGCACCTGGCAGAGCAGAGGACTTGTCTCCGCACTCACAATGCCATCATCTTCATCTGCCCTACTGCCTGCTTGTAGTTCACGAAGATGCCCTGAGCAGGAGCCGCCAGGAGCCGGAACCCAAAAAAGACCGCAGGCCTGCGCGGTCTCGGGCCGCAGGTAGCCTCAGGAAACGTTGGGGAGAAGAAAGGCGAGAGGCGACCTCGAGGCGACCTCGCTTCTACGGCTGCGGCTCTTGGAGGAGGCATCCGAGTAGGGGCCCACGTTGGTCTCGAACATCAAGTTGAAGGCCCTCCCGAAGCTGAAGCACGAAGCATGCATGCAGCATGCAGCAGCGTCATGCAGTTCGGAAAGAGAAGGGACGAAAACGGGGAAACGACCTCTCCCCGCCTGGCTGCGGTCAAACTGCCGGGCTTCTGGGTGGCAGGCGAAGGGATCAGCGGAACCTGTCAGTGCTTGCTCTTTGCTCCTCGAACGGCCAACTTCTTCCTTTCTTTATGCGCGCCTCCTCATCCACAGCCTCTGTCATGTCCTTCAAACACGCAACATGAAGCCTGATTTCAAGCTTTGAGGTCTTGCCAGGCCCAGGTCTCCTTGATGACCAAAGGCTTCAGCGGCGCCTTGCTTGCAAAGCTTCGCAGCTTCGCATTCTCAGCATCCCAAATCGGCATTCTCAGTATGTTTTTTCGCTTCTTCGGGGTTGAACGGAGGTGTCGAGGCTCGGAAGAAGCCTTCTTGGCCCGATTCCTGAGCCGAACTTCAGGTGAAACCTTTAGCCCTTCTGCGAAGCTTGTGGGCGCAGTCTGGACCGTTTTGTTCTGGGCGCTTTTGGGCGCGTTTCTGCGCTTCGCTGCGCAACGACCAAGTGGAAACATGCGGAAGTGGAAAACGGGACATTGAAACTCTGCTTGTTCCCCGCGCAACACCGAAGCTTGCGGGCCCAAGCATCCAAACATCTCCGATCGTCAAGGCAAAACGAAAAAATCAAAAAGAAAATGGAACACAACCAAAAAAAAGACACGTACTTACACGAAAGTCCACCCTGCCCTGTCTCACTCACCTCACTCACCTCACTCAGCTCATCCTCTCACTCACCGTCGTAAGCCTCAGCGATTCAGCAGAGTGCAGAGGCAAAGCATGGCAAAGCGGAGCGGAGAGAGCACGACTTCGGCTTTGCTCTGAGGCGCCCGCCGCAATCCAGGCCTCAAAAAAGAATGAAAAAAGAAAAGTTTGTTCTTTCATATGTTCTTTCGGTTCAAGCGAGTTGTGTTGTCATGTGTTGTCGAGTTGTCGAGTTCCGTTGGGTGGCTTCGGCTAAGAGCTTGTCTAAGAGCTTTGAGGCGTAGCTTGGGAAGTGATATCGTGATGTTACGTCTTACGTCGTTACGTCATGCGTGTAAATCTGTGGCTCTCTTCCCAGGGACCAAGCCGCTTTGATCGCAGACTCCAGCTTCGGCTCCTGATGCGGTGCACCACGAACACGGATGACTCGCATGACGCAGACATGGCAAGAAGGACTGCCACCGCCTCGAACTCTGAGCCGTCTGATGCTGATTGCTGATGCATGTGCTGCTGCAATGGCTGATGCATCGCATGCGGAGAGCATCACGATAAACATAAGGCTGATAAGCATGCAGAAATATGCAGGATCATGGATGACAAGTTATGACGAGCCTTGATTGATTCCATGACCGCGGAATAAACGACATATTGGGAAGAGGCGGACCAGGTTGCGTTGGTCGAGCATGGGTGACAAAGTCAGGTCTGGTGAAGCATGGCTGCTGCGTGCATAGGTGGCTGTCGTGGCTGCCAGTTGAGGGTCCTGAATTCCGCAGTCGCCCAGCAGGGCAATCAGGTCGGCGCCCCGCCGAGACACCACGCCGGAGCCGAGCTCCTCTCAAAAACAGACAGGACCAGTTCTGGCTTCTGCTCTCAGCGGCCCGGGCCTCGGCGGCCTTCTCGAGCATCTTCGCCAGCTCCTGGCTACATGCTCTGCCAGCGCCCAAAAGACCTTTTTCAGGGCCTAAAGCATCTGGCCGCTATGGCTCTGGGGCCTGCCGCGCATCGGCGTGGAGCGCGGCATTCTTGATGGCCTGTCACATTCGGTCCACGCGCGGTTGCGGCACTTGGCACCAAGGTCCTCGATAGATTCGATCATGGCAACTCCCAGTAGGTCCAGTCCTGAAATCCCATAAACTTGCTGAGTCTGAAGAGTAGGAATCGATTTTGATTCATGTTTGGCGAGGCCAGGGCCTTGGTTGCGTTCCAGGCACAGGTCCAGGGCTTCCTCGAAAAGGAGAGGTGCAGAGCGGTGCCCTTCTTTTAAAAACAGCCCCTGAGGTTCTGGCGACTGCGGCGGGCAGGTCCTTGGCGTGAGTCTGCACCGCAAACTCCAGCTTCGACCTCAAAGAAAACTGAAAAAAAGAATCCGTATTTCCTCATGGTCAAACCCCGGGTGCCCGAGCTCGATCATGGCCGCAGTGCCCTGATGCTTGGCACCGCGCTGAAGGCCTTCCCAAAGACACCGACATGCAACGCCTCACCTTAAACAAAAAAACAAAACATCTCAACCAAGCTGTCGGCTCAAGCTTTGCCAGATCATTTTTTGCACGCTGAACTCGGCCTCCGCCTAGAGAAGCAAAAAGCTTTCCAACGAAAGACTAGTAACGTATGACTTCGCCTTCTTCCACACCTCCACCTGCTCCTTGGCCATCCGCGCCTGTGTGCCATGACGAGCCGGACGGCCCTTCTGATTGCATGCCTTGATGCTTTGACAAATTGAAGGCACCCGCAAGGCTTTTGCGCAGGAGAGCAGCTTCTTGCGCGAGTCCTCCAACTTGTGTTTGTCCTGCACGGCATGGGTCATAAGTCAAGCCTCGTCAATGCAAACGAGTCCGTTCCTTCTTCACCACCTTTGGCTCGCCAATGGCGCTCATCGGGACCTTGGAAAGCGAGTCCAGACCAGCAGTTTTTTGCGCACACCCTCTTCTCGTGCGGACCACATCATCCTCCGCCGTGGCCTCTGTCGCTGCATCCGCGCCTGACAATCAAAAGACAACCAAGAAATCCCGGGAATAGGCCTTCTCGGCACCAAGCCATCGTTGCAGCGGCAGCCAATGGCCTTGGACAGCTTCCGGTTAATTGTGGCCACATTGAGATTTCTGGGGGCCCTGGCGCCCATGACGCAAGCCGCAATTTCCAAAGCTGGCTAGTCTACGCGACTTGCAATAAAAGTTTATGCGTGCTTGCTTTTGAGTTGCTTATCCATGCTTAAAGATTTCTTTGGAGCCAACTGTCGAAGGAATTACAAAAAAGTCCAAAAGGTGCTTTCCCCACACAACAACGCGCTCTCAGATATTACTTACACTGCGCTCAGGAAGCCTTTGCCGCCATCTTCTGCGCCGCTTTCTGCAAGGCCGCGGCCACGTTGCCATCCTCCACCTGGCGTGGACTTTTCCTTTCACTGAGAGCATGTCCAGGAGTCCAGGAATCTCCTGAACTCTGTTCTTGCCAGGCTGCCATGGAGACGTAACCCAAGGTGCCCTCAGGGCCGTCAACGCCCTAAGTGCCAAAGCTTGCAAGGCACCATGTGTTCACATGACATGCCCTCAAAGATGGCTTCGATGGCTTGGGCACTGGCCTCGAGTTCTACCTTCGCCCACATCAGCTGATCGGCCCGATACCTGCAGCTGACACGGCCCTGCTATTCTGCGGTGCACAACCTCTGCCACCCAGCCTCTGCTTGCTCTCCTTACAATCGACCATGGGGTCCGAAAAGTTTTCCACCTGGCCATCACGAATAAAAGTGCAAAAAAGTGTTTGGCAAGGAAAAGTTTGTTGCTTTGTTTCCGGGGTCCGGACGTGGCCCGAGGCCTTGTGCACAGAAGGTGTCGTCACGATGGAGCTGTCAAGGCCGACAACGTCGTCACGGCTGTGAACCATCCTATTTCATGTTCAATACGCAGAGAAGATATGCTGGGAGAGACCCCACCTTCGCCACCAAAGCTTCTTTAGATTGTTTTTCAACTCGGCACCCAAGGGCCCGTAATCAAAAAAACCGTTGTAGCCACCATAGATCTGTCAAGGCGGGGAAAACCGTGGCGGGGCAGGAAGACTTTGAAGAAGCTGCAAGCAAAGCAAGTGGGAGCGACCTCACCGCTCGGGAACACAAAGCCGCGACGCTTGCACAAAGAGACGAAGCCTTCGAGATCCATTTGATACCTCACGAACAGAAACCCCCAAGAACTTGCAAGCAAACTCATCTGACTCATCCAAGGCGTCAACTCAAAGTCTACGTTCGTGCTGGCACACCTTCGCCAAAAAAAATGACACTGGCCACGTGACACCCCCAACCCAATCTTTGTCCTCGGGAGTAAACGTCGCACCTTGCTGGGATTGAACATACGACAAAAGCAAACTTCTGTGTGAGTCAGTGCCGCGCCCTCTTTCCGCCCCGCCTCCAGCCAATAAACAGATCTGGATATTTGAACAACAGCGAACAAAATTCGGGGCCTCCATGGTGCTAATGCGAACAAGCCAAATCCCAAGAAGCTCCTTCAATGACTCTCATGAAGTTGCTTGGCCAAAACCTTGAGCACGAAAGGTTGAGCCAAGGACCTTGGCGATGCTGTTGGTGTCCCGATCGCCCTCCTGGACTGTGGACGAAGAAAACAGCAAGGAACAGAAAAAAAACAGAAGAGCTCCCTGGGCCTCAAAGAAGGTGGAGCCTGCGCCACCTGCGGAGCCCCAGGAGGCTGGGCCAATGCTCTGGGGGCCGGCTTCGGCGCCCACCCGAAGCCGAAGGACAACGCCATGGCCGAAAGCTCCGGAGAAAATCCCAATCACAATCACGTGCTTGCAGCTTACACGATTCTAATGCAATACGTTGGTGAATTGAAATATGAATTTCATAACAAGTGCTCACATCGATGTCATGCCCAAGTTGCAGTAGCTGATCACATGGTTCAATGGCAACTTTCAAGTTTAACTTTAAGACCCCGAGTTTCAAAATACGTGCACTGCGACATTGGGGATGGCACCAGTACTGTGCAAAAGGAAGAAAAAGTTCTAAAGCTCTTGCTATATATTTTAGCAAAACCATTTGACCTGGATGCCTTGAGCACCAAAACTTTTGCTCGTTCACAGCTCACATGCCGAACGAACGAAATCCATAAAAGTTTTTCCAAGCTGTCTGGTGCCAACATGCACGGTTGGACAAGAGAAACTGTCTTTGCTGCGACGCAAATGCAAAGTGCTATGATCCATACGTGGCTGTGGAATGCAATAAAGTCAACATGCCCAAATACGTGGTGAGGACTAGGTGCAAAACAGACGTGAGTACACACACAAACCATTCTACACCAATCCACAGCCACGTATGTATCACAGAGTATGCCATGCAATTTTATTTTGTGCAATCAAGAAAATTGCCAAATCATATTCGAACATCAAATAGAAATTCCTTCACAAAAGCTAAATGTACTTTTTGCACTTCTTTTTCAGAAGCATTTAGTGGAAATCTCACTGAAGTTTTTAACATATTCCTCTGGTGTTAAGAAAGGGCCGTCAATCTTCATCTCAAATTTTCCTGACCAGTTCTCAATAACAACCTTCAAGTCATCACCTACTTCTCCTGCTTGAATGTGATCAACATGGATGACTAGAAAGCTTCCTGAAGGTCTACGGTACAACGTAGGACCTTCCAAGTTCCTCTTGAAGTTGTTTTCTTGCACAAAGTCTTCATTTTAAGAAGTCTGACCAAAGAACTGCTGCACCTCGCTGTCCCAGCAACACACGAAGCAGAATAATTGCTCTTTCCCGCGAAGTTTTATTGAACTCCATGTCTTCACCAGCCATGACTGACAGGTATTCCTGAAGGATAAGCACGCCGATTTTCTCTGTTGAGGGATCTGTAACAAACAAAGCATCTTTGATGTCCATGCTGTACAGCTTCATTTCCTGTTGTAAGGCGAACGCAGGGAGTATGCGCACTAGACTAGTAGTAGTGGCCGGAGAGAAAAAATCATTCTTTGACTAGCTTGCTTGAACTCTCTAGTGTAAAAAGGCAACTGTCCAACACAGCAGCAAAACTGACTGTAAGGCAAACCCCAATGTTCACTATTCACCTTTTGCAATCGCGATCTCAAAGCTCTGTGTGGATTCAACTGCAGTTCGATAGGAATGGCTTCAAATAAGATAAGTGCCCTAATGCTTCCGGCTTAAGGGGAACTTGCACCTCCTGCCTCGTCCCCTACAAAACCCTTTAAAATTCAACGAATTAGGCTTCTGGGACGCTGAGCGCCCTGATGTGGTTGTCGCTGCCACTGAGCAACATCTCACCGCCCTCATCTCTGCCACCCCCCGAGAGCAAGTTCAAATCACAACCGGTGTGCACTTGCTGCTGATAGGGAGGGTCTTTGGCTACTGTCACCACCAGTCCATAATCAAGAGCTGCTGAGCACCTACGCTACAGTACAGAGATGCCAGGGCCTCCCTTGCAACAGCGTGCAGGTTGAGACCTATTATGCACGGTCGTCCACTGAGCCGCAAGGGCGCTGTTATGCCAAACACTCTCCATGGGCAAGATTGCCAAAAGCTATCCGATGGCTCGCACTTGGGCCCCACGCTTACGAAGTTGACCTTAAAGGATGCTTTTATACCCTTGCAAGAATCCTCAGTAACCCAGTTGGAGCTGAACACCCTTCAGGACGCGCGAAATCTTCTTGGCGCCCAGATTCCCGCCACACCCGAAGAACCACACCTACAGCCTAAAAGACTGCTACAAGTCGCGTTGATGACTGGCCGTGTTGGCTTTACTGACTACCTCATGCGACATGGCAGACAGGTCGGCATTCCGCTCTTCTTCTTGTGCCAAATTGATGAGTGTAGGAACCGCTTAAGGCGCCCTTGTAAGTCACGGTCTCCCCTGGTTCCAGCCTGACCATCGATGTAACGAAAGGAATGCTATCTATTTCCTCTTAGAGGCTGCTGAAACCAGGATCATAGCTTTTGTTTTGACAGCGCACATCACAGAGGCCGGCAGACAGGTACTCCGGCTTCATGATGGTTTTTATGTTGGCCACCAGCCTGACGAGCTAGCCCTGCAAGACGCAGCTCGTGCTGCCGTTGCCAAGTTACTCACCACACTCCCCCACGTCAGCGGACAAGCAGTAAACACCTGTTGGACCTTGAAACCTAGCGGAAACGATATAGAGCTCTGGAAAGGGAAGACCCCATTGCTCACCTCTCAAGGAAACGTGCCAAAGTCAAGTAGTGAGCTTTGCTGTAACGCAGGCTAGGGGCCAGAGGACACCCACCTGCTACTAGTGCCATACTTAAGTGCTCTTCTCATAGCGTGTTTGCCCCGTCGCCACCCCTGCTCATGCTAGGCCGAAGTGTAGCTGCAGGGGTGTCTTAAGCACTTGGCTCAGAGCATAGTATACGCACCAGTAGGTCGTAGAAGCAAACTTAGTTCCCCCACAACAGTTGATAATGAGGCCCGTAGCAGGGATCACCGCGGTCATGGTCTGCGCTGGGCAATGAATGAGGGACCAGGACAACACTACACGCAAGGTAATGATGAAGCACACGGCCTGAGCCGAACAGTACAACCAGTGATGAGCACTGCCCCATTTTAAGAGCGATGGTCAGAACGGCCATCTTGGGAAGAGGAATGGTGACCACTGATGAACAGTGGGTCCATGACATCACCACTCTTCATGGACCCCCTCCCCCTCCCACCTACCCAGCAAGTATGGCTCCACCATCAACATCAGCCCAAGGCGGGACAGCATCTTCGGTAGCAGACCTGCCTGAGCCGACAGCTGGGAACAGTGCGACGACCGCTTTGGGGAGCAGAGGCCCCGCAGGGGTCACAGCTTGCCGCTTGCGCTATCTGCTGAGAACGGCAGGCCAGAAGTGAGTCTCATGATTTGACTATGCAACATGACATGTAGCTATGTACTGCATACGCATGCATGTTGTTGCAGTAGCACCCACACACTGCATGTCACTGCGGTACGGGATCAAGCATAGGCAGCCCTCAGGTTCAATTACGCCAAGCAATTCGCAGTACCTGCAGCCTCCCGTCTCATTCTCAGCTCGCAGCACTGTGCTACAGGCAAGGCGCGGTTCCCACGACAGATGGTGTGGACCCTACTTTCTTCAATCATTCGCGCCCGATTGTAATTGCGTCGCATGACCTCACCGAAGTGGCAGAGGCCCCGCGGGTAACACCTGCTGCGGTAGCGTTGCCTGCATCAGGAGTGGGCAGGTCAGACATGTCGCAGGCAGGGGTCTCGCACTGGCCCATACATGGCACGTGCTCCGCCTCTGAGGCCGCGTTTTGGTGCCTTGCCACATGACATGACAAATGTCTTTACCATAATCCAGCACACGCAAGCATCATTGCACGTCATAGAGAACAACCAGCGCAGTATGCTACGTCGGCTTGCTACCGTCGAGTTTCATTTAGGAGAGATGCAGGAACAGCTCGGTACCACTGAGCGACGTACAGCGGCGCAGCACGCAAAGGAGCTGGAATCTAGTGTTCACAATGCACATGTTCGCATTTCAGATCTTCAGGCCAACCTTCGCACGCATGAGTTTGCAGCTGCCGGCCTCCAAAATGCAATATCCCAGGCTGTGACTAACACAAGGCAGCTTCGCTTGCACCTTGGCAATGCGCTGCAAGTCATGGGGCCCCACATCACTGCTGGGGAGGACCCACCTCCCTGACTAGAAGGCTCTCAGCAGACGCCCGCAAGGGCGCAGAGGTGCAGTGGAGGCCTCATAACATGCAGCCGGGTAGGTAGTCAAGGTTCAAGGCAGGGTCACACGACGGGGCCAAAGCGCTCTCTCGCACAGGCCACGAGCTCAACTGTCGTTGCTCCCTCGTTTGACTATAGGCAACACCAGCTACCTACACGAGATGTGGGGGCCCCAGCCGCAGAAATCAGGTTCGCGCATATCTGACCGCTCACAGTGTTGTAGTTAAAAATCTGGGCTCGTGCCCAAGTTGTCCACTGTAGATAGGGTGCCCTGGTGGATGTGCTAAGCGGTGGGGGCAAAGCGCCCTCCCGCCCGCAAACCCCTACCACCGCCATCCTACAGGCCTTGCAAGTAAGATCGCCAGTAAGCAAGTAACCAACGGCTGCCAGCGTCCTGGCCATGCAACAAGCGCTCGCGCAAATTGAGCAGCAGTGTTGGGAGATGT